TATATATATATATATATATATATATATATATATATATATACATACAGTGGGGGAAATAAGTATTTGACCCCTTGCTGATTTTGCAGGTTTGCCCACTTACAAAGGATGCAACTATCTATAACTTTAATCATATGTACATTCTAACAGTGAAAGACAGAATCCCAAAGAAAATTCCAGAAAATCACATCATATGAATTTATAAAAATTGATAACCATCTGATGAGGAAAAATAAGCATTCTTTGTAAGTGGGCAAACCTGCAAAATCCACAAGGGGTCAAATACTTATTTCCCCCACTGTATATATATATATATATATATACACACATACACATGCATGTATTATTACTTTAAAACAAATAAAGAGAAATATAACATTAACCTTTGCTGCCTTGCACACAGTCGTATCACGTGGGGAAAGTTTGTCAACTGTGGCCAGACGTGCATCGCCCCCGACTACATCCTGTGTGAGCCGTGCATCCAGGGCCGGGTGGTGGAATGCATCCGCCAAACTCTACTGGTATAAACGCCTCTGCCATAAACCGCTCCCGTCGCGTTCCGTTTTCCGTTTGAGTGACCCCGTCTCTGAATTTGAATTCCAACCAGGAATTCTACGGCGCTGACCCAAAGTGCTCAGCTGACTACGGCCGAATCATCAACCAGCGGCATTTTAACCGAATCATGAGTCTGATGGAGGGTTACACTCCTGTGGTGGGGGGACAAAGTGACTCCTCACAGTGCTACATTGGTACGAGGACCCATTTCTAAAAGCAAGTTTGGACGAATGTGGACGATTATATCTGTTTTCCGTCCCGTCTAATTAATGCTGACACTCCTTTGAAAGCCCCGACAGTGCTGAAGGATGTGCCCCCCCATTCCAGGCTGATGCAGGAGGAGATCTTTGGCCCTCTGCTACCCATAGTAACAGTGAGCGATATGGACGATGCCATACACTTCATCAGTGAGAGGGAGAAGCCCTTGGCTCTCTACATTTTCTGCTCCGACAAGAAGGTGAGGCGAAAAAGTCACAAAATAATCCTGCATCTCCTCTTGAACTCACGTTCTTATACCTGTGTGTCTCGAAGGCAATAAAAAGGATGATTGAGGAAACCACGAGTGGAGGAGTTACGGTCAATGATGTCATGATGCACTACACACTCAGCTCTCTCCCGTTTGGTGGCGTTGGTGAGAATGACTTTAAGTGTGTCTTACAATACACACAATAACACTTTAACTTCATATAAGAATGACATTTTTTTTCAATTTCTTTGCTGTGTTGCTGTATTAATCAAAGCTGCTACTAAAAAAAACACAAAAAAACTGTAATATTGATTTTGCAACTTGAAAAATCAACTTTGGTCAACTTGAATTTGACCAAAACTTGATAAAGAGCACAAAAGCTGAGTCTATTGAAAGAGACTGCACCATGGACAGTGGAAAACAGAAACACTAACTGACAAAGCTGTTGCCAAGGAAGCAGCTGAATAAGATACAGTAAGCTGCTTTGGATTGCTGAACCTGATGCAGTACTTGCATTTTTCTCACATGATAGCTGTGTTTCTATTGAATTAAGTCATGTTCATATTAGCAGCTGTTAGATTCATAATCAACTATCGGTATGGAACATAATGTATGTGCAGTATTTGGTCATGCAGAAAAGAAATGGAGTAAGACATGAGATTATGGGTTAGTCTTGCAGAATGTATGCATAAAAATACTAAATACCGCTAAATTATTATGCAAAAGCGCTGTGGTACATGTAGGTTCTTCAAGAGATGTCATGAATATCAACAAGAATGTTCCCCTCATTTACTCAAAGCGCAATTTGGCATTACGACCATTTAAATCCACTCTATGCAAATATGTATGGCAAGGGTTGTCAGTTTTGCTTTGGTTTTCCAGTCTATTCATACCAAGCAAAAACACATTTTAAATGACTAGTTAAATCTTAGTTGTGTTTTATTGGTCCACTAATCCACCCTTCCCCTCAGGAAAGCATCTTTATTTTCCCTGCCCTGTCGTTTTGTTTTAACTGTCACATATTGTAAAGCCTAACATATACCGTGCTGATACTTATGCTTGTATACAATGTTAGGAAGCTTGTCCATGTCATTTAATCAAGTTGGACTTGTAGTAAATAGATTTCCTTCACTACCACAGACATCATCACTTGATCCAATCATAGAAATCCTCTTGATGTGAGATCAATTTCACACAAATGTAGTTGACATGAAAGGGTTTTTATTGACATAGATTAAGGAAAACTGAGAGACAGCTATAGATACAAATATAATGTACAATGCATATACAATGGTCAATTATATTCTAAATAATTCCATTTCTGTGAGGCGTACTCTTATTCAAATTAAAATTATGCACAGGCTTTCAGCTTCATGCAGCTCAAGATAAGTTATCTAAGCAAACACTTGCAACTGTTTTCTACATAAAGTGTAACTATATTCTGATTGTTCTACTGATCCCTGGCCTTTAACTGGGATCTTTGGTGAGCCACCAGAAGCTGTCCTACAACACAAAGTAGAATTGCCGAGATTCATTCTTTTAAATAGGAAGAATGACAACTACCACAGACAGATATGTGACGTTTTCTTATAAGGTTGATAGATACAGAATGAATGGTGGCATACTATGTTTATATTTCTGAGGTAGAACAGCCGATACGTCATTCTGACTCTGGGTAATATGTTACAAAAGCTCACAAAATACATCCCTGATTGGTTCGTGTGTCTGTGTTTTTAATTTTTTTTATTTATACCTTTGGTCTATGTCTCATGTATCTTATGTGTCTTATTGTAAATATTTAATATCTTTTTTTGTGTATTTGTTTTGAAAGCTTAATATGAGCAAATTGTCTCAAAGAAAAAAATAAACAACACACAATGACTATCTTTCAGAGGACATGACGGAGCTTTTGTCTCTCACCCTTTCAGGTCACAGTGGCATGGGCCGCTATCACGGCAAACATACCTTTGACCAGCTGAGCCACCAGAGAGCGTGCCTGGTGCGCTCACTGACCATGGAGAGTGTTAATCGCGCGCGCTATCCCCCTCAGGACCGCCGGCGGGCGCGCAGCGTGCGGATGGCCTTCAAGGCCCCTCTGATCGACACGTCCAAAAGGACACTGGTCTGGGCTGTGGTGGCCACCGTCCTCGGCCTGGGCCTTTTCGTGACCTTGCTGGTCATCCTGCTCATTGCAGCAGGCCTGAACTGTACCTGCTGGTACTGGAGAGGCTTTTATAACTAGACACACCACCGTTCGTAGCCTGTGAGGGTGGGTGGGGGGGGGATGTGCTTTCTGCAATGATTTCTATGAATCTTGTTTTATACTGAAACATTTCAAAGAGAACATAATTGTTTGGGCTAACTTTTACTTTCCGTGTTTGTTTTGTATCAGATGTCCTCATTCGGCAATGAAATTAAAATGTAAAAACGGTGAAGAAAAAGTGCCATTCTTCACATTTCTTTATTCGAAGTTTAAAAAATAATTACTGTTGGAAGAAACATTGTTTGTTTTGCTTGTTTTCTTTCCCAATAAAACTTTAGTAAATCTCTTGGATTTTCTCATGTATTTGAAATAGTAATTGTATTATTGTATTAAATGAAGACATTTACGGTACATGTAATGTGTAAACATTACATGTAAATGTCTTCATTTTATTACTTTAAAGCCACATTTGTCAGGAAAGGATGGGAGGGGAGTGCAGATTAAGGCCCAAACTGCAGATACAGAAAGCAGGAAATGATATAAAACTAAGTTTAAGAGACACAATAGATGATTAGATTTTAAATGGATGTGTTTTATATGTATGGTATGTCTGGTTTTTACTTTTGTGGTAATGATTTGTGCTCATATGAAGTAATAGTGAAGACAATAGAACATTTTCTAATAAATGGATCATGTGGTTAACATGATCTTGACTCCTGCCAACAGAGGGGAAATTATGTATTTTTGTGTATCACACACAGATACTCTGTATTCCCCCCCTTTCTATAAATATGCAAGTTCTTGGGGGATTTATGCACTTAGGTTTGTATTGTTTGTCTTTGCGAAGAAACTCTGGTTAGGAAGCTAGAAATAAGCTCAGGTCCCTCAGCCCCTTTATGGATTAAGAGGGTAGGCCTATTAAAAATGGATGTTTGAGTACAGAAAATGGATGGACTGATGTAGACAAAAATAATACCATGTGTGCTGTCTAGATGGCAGCAGTGGGCTGTGTAAGCGTAGGGAACTAATTCCAGGAAAAGTGACTGGTGTTCCTCGTGGTCACATGATTAAGTTCACAATGGTCTTTTCATTTTATATAAAATCTGTCTCAAACCTGCAAATATACCCATTTGAAATACTTACATGTAGGTATTCAAGGTAAGTCGCTTTGAAAAACACATTTCTCCACTCCTCTTCTGAGCTTCCTTCTAAACCGATTTTTTTTTTATTTGATGGATTTGTGGATATCCAGATCTATAGCTCATAAACTAACTAAAGTAATCGGCAGCCCTCTCAGCTCCCCGTCTTACTCCTGACATCCAGTCCGTTGCTCCTGGAAACCCAAATAACTCTTGCATAACTGCATTAGATTCACACTGATGACTCAGTCTGGACATAACAAAAGTCAGAGCACAAGTTCAAGGCTTTCCAGGGAAGTCATTGTACTCTTGTTTTGAGCATTTACAGTTTTTCTATCATAGCTTCAAAGGAGAAATCTCTGAGGATTTTCAAGAGGGGGCAGGAAGTTATAAAGTTTCCTTCCCTCCAACATGAACATTATCATATTTAAAAGAACAAGAACAACATATGATGGAAGCAGGAAATTAAAATACAGACTTTTGAAAAAAGATGCAAATGAATTCACATGGCACATAAAAATATTATGTGCCTGCGTTAGCTTAAAAATATTAAGCAAACACAGAACATAAAGCAGCTAAAAATGTCTCTAAAAAGAGACATTTGGAGGGTGGGGGTGGGGGGGGGGATAACAAACAATATAATCAAGTTAAAAAGCAACTGTTTCGTGTCAGGAAGTTTTTTCTTTCCTCTGAGGTTTTCCAGTAATTCCCGTTAAGGCCTCCTTTAATGAACTAGCTGTCACTTTATATGTGCCAATTAGGGCCTTCCACAGCACAAATCACATTTCCTGCAGTCCTAATAGGTTACTGAACAAAGGATAAAGATCACAAATCACTCAGCGTCCCAATAATAAGCATCCACCTTGCTCTCTGCCATCTTCCTTGTAAGAGGCACCGTCATAAACTGATACAGGTGCCTCCAAGTTTCCCTGTTCATTCCTTTGACATTCTTCAAATTACTAAAGGTGGCATTGGAAAACAAAATAATAAACAGAATAAAAAAATCTGTATCAGTTATCACTTCCTGCCCCCCTATATACATTAAAATACACAATTTTACTTGTTGCTCTCCATCTTTGCTGAAAACATTTAATGAAAATAAATCATTTCGATATGAAAGCCTTTGGTGTGTGTGTTCATTGTGGAAATAAGTGTACATTTGTACAAATGTAAGCCTTCAGCTAATTTGGAAGTCCTGTTGTGATGTGTAATGAGCTTGTTTGGCTGCTACCATTGGTTGAATCTTACTGATACTCAGTAGCTGCACAGTTTATTATTGGATGGGACATTGTTCTTCCCAAATGTTCCAAATGTTCAATGTAAATGTAGTGACTCCTATGGCAAGTCAAAGAAACTTCAGCATGTGTGCTCTCCATGTTTTGTGATTTCATTGGCCAAAATTGAATTTAAAATGAGAAAAATCTGAGAAAAATCTAAGGAAAACCTGAGAAAAACCTAAGAAAAGCTGCTCTTCTGAAACCATGAACCAGGCATTTCATATAACTTTAAGCTAAATTTGTTTTTTTCTTGACAAAATGTGAAGGTTGGATAGTGAAGCATCACATTATTGGATAACAATGGTATAGCTTCTGTCAATATGTGTCTGTAGAAAATAATCAATTTACATGAAGGGACTGGCACCACGGTACTTAATATCTGAACATATTTTGCCTCTTATATTCTTAAAAGAAATTTCAAATTATAATTAAAAGTTGAAACATTGATTAAATACAATTAAATGTTGTGAATCAATATGCAAATGGTTGTTTTCTACCTGAGACAGGGATTTTCCAGACACCATTTAAAACAAAGGAAATGCCTAAAGGAATGATGCAGCTCAATGATCTTATTAAACCAACTCAGATACTTTAAGACACAAAAAACCCTTCTGAAGAGTGATCTCTGAACTGGAAAGGGGCACTGGATATTGTGTTTGTTACATCAAAACCCGTGAGTCTTCAACTATCAGCTGGGAGGGCTTCAACTTCAAGAACTACAGTACTAGAACACAACATGTTACTAAAAACTGTTGAGTTTCAGTTATAACTCTCAGAGGGACTTGTTTTGAAGACATTCAGACAATGTTCGATCTTACAGAACATTGCCTTTACTACAAATCTATTTTACAATTAATTGCATGGGAATAATTTACCGTGGCACAGAGAAGATTTCCAACTTTGGCAAAAAGGATTTCTGCACGTCCTCTACTGACAACAGAACTGAGTGATTGATGATTTTCAGCTGTGGCATGCAGGTGTGGAGCGGGATTAAGTTAATGAGCTAGAGGGTGGGGTGACTCTCTCTACAGTGCTTAAAAGGGGACTTTTGGGACAAGCCTATATGCGACAATGGAGGGCAGGTTGCTTGTTGTGTTTAGTCTCCTTTGTGGATGCGTTTGGCTGAGCGAGGCTCGACTCGGCAGTATGAGGATGTCACCCTACTGGGCGGCGATGGTGCAGAGACCTGAGAACGTGGAGGCCAAGCCAGCGGCTCCTGAGAGAGAGCGGTTTGCTCTTCTCCCTCGGTCGGCCGGCAGATTCCACTCAAAAAGCGTCCAGCCTGAGGACGAGCGCTTCAGTTGGAAGTTTCCGGACGATCCAGTGGACCAGGTGAAGAGGCCTCCTTTCATGTTCCAAGTCCAGGAGCCGGAGGTGCCCAGCCGCGTAGCTGTGAAATGCGGCGAGAGTACGATCCAGGTGGAAGTGAGTCAGGACCTGCTGGGCATTGGAACGCTCATCAGTCCAGATGAAATCTCCCTCGGAGGCTGTCCGGCTGTGGACATTGACGAGTTTGCTAATGTACTGATCTTCGAATCGGAGCTTCATGACTGTGGCAGCACGCTGGAAGTATGACGCTATGACTAAATGTGGCAACGTTTCATTGCATGATGTAACTTAATGATTTGTAAAAACTGTGACAATCTGTCTGCTTTCAGGTCAAGAAGCAGGACTTTGTCTACAGCTTCATGCTGGTGTACAAACCCAAGATGTTGGCCGGAAGTCCCATCATCAGGAGCCAGAACGCGAATATCAAAATTGAGTGTCACTACATGAACTTGCAGAAACCACTTCCAAAGCATTTCTCCCCCTAGTGGTGCTCATTCCTGCTTTGTCAGCAAGAGAAAATAAACTTATTGCTACCAAATTTGCATCTTGTCTTTTCTATCAAAACTCCAAAAAAGGACTGCAAGTTTATATCTGCCCCAATTGGTTTAACGGTGCTCCCCTTTTAACACTGCCATATTAGACTTAATTCTTCTCAGGCCAAGCTGAACATATTTAAGGTTGGCGTAGTTAAACTCTTACTTCTCGATCCTCATACTGTCCGCTCAACATTCATTTCTGGATTGTCTCTCTGCTTTGATCTGCACAAATAGTTTAGTTATGGTCATAATTTGGTGCAATTGGAACAAACTGCACTGCTACCAATGATCTCCCCTTGGCCTCTGGAGTTTGTGCTGGTTCTAAGTGCTACATTTAATAGCATTCTGCATGCCTCCCATGGTTTAAAGTGAATATAAGGCTGGTTAATGGATTCCAGTCTGCCCAAGAAAATGTGGAATCTTCATCCCACAGAGTTCTTTGATTGGACCAGTTCTATTCATTTTATACTCTGCTATACTTATGAAATGGGATATTATCAGCTGGTTACTTTTCAATTGCTATTAAAGACCTAGAGGAATCTTCAGGGTCAGATAGAAACTTTAACATTTATAACATTCTAGTTATAAAATTGTTCTGGATGGCATTTCCTTGGCTTTTAGTGCTGAAATGAGGAACCTTGGGTATATATTTGAACGTGATCTGTCCTTTGAATAGCATAAAACAGGTTTGTGGAACTGCCTTTCCTCTTTGTAATATTACCATTCTACATTCTGCCCTTCAAACTCGCCGAAAAGCATCCAGCTGATCCAAAAAGCCTGACATCAGGATTCTCCACTTTTAGGTCGTCTTCATTGGCTCCCTGTTAAATTCAGAACAGGAAAATAAAATCCTGCTCTTTATGCGTGAAGGGGTGTGTATTCCAACTTTTAGGCTTATCAGGCTTACAGAGCTCTCACACAATGTTAAAAATGTATTTCCCAGGTTTTAAATCTTAAGATTTTTAAATATTACGAATAATTTTGGTCTGGACTCCTAGTCTTGCAGTATGAAATATGAATTCTCACACATGCAGGAGAAAAAATGTATAGCAGTTTCATACAGGAAGGATTAGACATAAACCTAGAATCCTATTGTGCTTCCTGTCAACTGGCCTAAAGTCTTTTCTTAACATTTTTTTATTGAATAGTGCAAACAAACATGGTGACTATAAAGGCTGTTGTATACGATCCATTGAACTTTGTTCGATTAATCCTTTGCGTATATTCATGTGCACTGGTGCATTTTATTGTGTCATTTGTTGTACCTTCTTCCACTAATGATATGTGCTTATTGAACACAAACTGTAGCCAGAACGTTTCTTTGTTTGGAGGTCCTTACAAGCCATGTGGACAGGTGGTGACTTTGTTTGTTATGTTTCTCTGCACATCGATGAGCAAATATTGGGTTTTTTGGCTCGATAGACAATCACCTATATTTTCCTTTGGCATGACTTGTCTCTGCTTTCAGTAGTTGCTCTCCTGTCACACTGTTTAAATGTTCTAATTTAAATTTGAGAACTAGGTTATGTGCCAAATGAGAATGAAGGCGTCAAGATGTTTGTGAGAGGGTTGTTGGATTCAAGTCGCGAGGCAAGAAAATACAAAGAGATCCAGAAGAACTGAAAGGTTTTGTATACAAAAACCAGATGGTTCACTAGAGGGGATCCTGATTGATGAGCAAATCAACTGACACCACAGGTGAAAGGAGTGGGGCTGATTACTGAAATGTAAAAGGAAATTAGGGGAAATAAGAGCAAATTGAAACTCATGGGGACACGGTAGGTAACCAGAAGTTGGAAGGAATTCCACAATAAAACAGGAAACTCAAAACTGGACATCAGGCATAAGAAACTAGCTTAAGACAAAATACAAGAAAGAGACTATTGAGAAAGTGGGGAAAAAAGGAATAACCAAATAACGTGGGAACAAGAACTACAACCTTGAATACAAACACAATGTATAGCAAGAATCTAATATCTAATAAGAAGAAAAAAACCACAGGGAGAACTCAAGACAAAGTCAAGTTCTCACTTTTATTTTCAGGCTTGAAATGTTATTTTATTATCAAATCTATGTATAGTGATGGCTCGGATGACCATAACCCCCTTTGTTATAAAGCTATTGGTCAAGATTGCTGGGGGCTCTCCTTCTGTCCTGTCCATCTAAACCACAGGTGGTTGAGGCAGATAGCCACCAAAATCTGGTTTGACCCGAGGTTTCTTCTGAAAGGGAATTTTTTTTCAAAGAAGTATTGTACACGATCAGGAAGGGGGGTTTGGATCAAATTACATATTCATTGGTTTCCATTGCTGGGAAACATTTTGAATTGGATCTGTATGATTTTGTTGGGGTATTACATGGATTTGATTGGATTATGATTGTATTACAATAGATTTAACTCTGACTGTGTCATGCTTCGTGATCACTGATTCATTCCAGCTGAGCCTGAGAATCCCATGCCACTCACGTGTTTGTCTGTGTACTTAAACCCCCCTCAGTCGCATCTCCAGTGCCAGATTGTCTGATTGCTTTGCCATAGAGTTCCAGCGTTTATTCCAAGTATCAAGCCAAGCCAAGCCCTATTTTGTGATCCACGACTTTGGCCTTGCTCTTGTCGCCATTCAGGTTTCGAACCCTTGTTTGTCCATTGGCTCTCCTCGTCTGCCTCACGCTCCCGAGTCATCTTGCCTTGTTCGGTTCTGTTCTGTGTATGACTCTAGCCTGGCCTTACGACACACCCTTTGGATCAACACTCAGCCCCTGGGGCTTCATGAAACAGGATTGCCTTAGGACATCGTTCACAGCCTCCTCATGTATTTACCAACGGGACTGCTCTCAATATACCAAAAATCAAGATAATAGTCAAGCAGAGTTACGCACAGTGCTGTTTGTGAGCTACTGCATGATACGCAATTACCCAGAGGCTCCTGTTCCTCAGGCAGTCTTTGTTGCTTTCTCCAGAAACTCCTCCATCGCTCCCTCTGTTTACCCCAAACCTTCTAGAAGTCTAGAAGTGGAGTCATCTCAGAACCATCTGGGTAATAACAAGCATTACCAAAAGGTTTGAGACCTTCATCCTGCTCGTTTATTCATTCTCTGCATGTCACAGTCCGGCTGAGGAGAGGAGAGATGAAGCTTATTCTGGCCTTGACCTTTACCATAGAAAATAAACGCAATTTTCTGCGTATCGTGATCTCTTCTGGTCCATTCAAGTCTGAGATTCCTGACAAATTGGTCTGAATTGGATTAGATCTTAGAAGTGCCCAGAGCTGGCATTTGTTGTGATTTGTTGCTACGCAAGTGAAATTGAATTAAACAGAATTCTGTTATTTAGTTTTATGCATTTGACAGTGTTTCGTTTATTACTTTCATTTGACATAGTTAATGCTTGATATGAATGAGTCAGTGCTGCTTTCTAGGGTTTCATGTCTATTTTATCATCTGGCTTCAGTGCGTGTCTCAAAATCGCTGTAATGGAATTTGTGACGTCACTTGTAGTTTTGCTGTTATGGCAATTAGATCATGCAATGACTCCTTTTATCTGCAATACTAAACACTTTTCAGCAGTACAAAGTAGAAAAACAGTTATTTCATTTTGAGCTCTGGGCAACAATCTGTCTAGCCAAATTTGATTAACATTCAACAAAGATTCCATTGTACATAAAGTTAAAATGGACTTTTTAGAGATGGCATAATTAATGAATTCATCAGAGGTTGTGTGATTTAATCATGTCTATAAACCATTGATAATTTTAGCAGTTTTCGTGCCTTCTTTTGTAGACAAAAGAAAAGAGGTGTTTTGAAACCACTTTATCTTTTTTTGTACGCATTAATTTGATTCCATTTTGCTGATACAATTTCAACTCGTGCATGCTCAAAAGGAATTTGGATGTTCTTACTCTGCTCGGTTTTAGGTTTTTGCTGTTTATTCAGAATTCTACAAAATAAATCGGTATTAAAGTGTGCTGAAAGCAAGTGACTGAAAGCTGTGATGAATGAGATTTAGTAGATGCTTGGTGGAATTATTTTTTTTATGGGGGCCTGTTTGAGGACCAGTCCACATGTCAGTGCTGCTTATGTGCCTGAGTTGTGACGTCACTTAAATTTAGTTAGTATTTTTTGGTTTAAGTTTTAAACTTTAAGACGTAATAAATGGGATAGGCTGAAGATTACATTTGTTTCCCGTCTGCTGACTGACTGCTGCAACTGTTGTTGGTAAAAGGAATTGTTGTCATAGCAACTAACACAACAAATTTGGAGTAGGAAATGTGCAAGGGCACAAATCTGTCATGATTTTTTAGTGGCTAGTTGCTGGCTGATGTATTGTTGGCTGGGGCATTTCAGACAGTTTTTTTAATGTGTACTGATCTGTCATCAGAATCCATCAGAGAGGAGATCAGGTCACTGCGTGTTCTCCTAAAAAAAACAGGATGCCTGGTTGCCCCGGGTTACACCGGTGCATGTACTGTCCTGTAAAATGAGAATATAATCACCCAGCCAAATGTTCGGTTAAGTGTTTTATGTTATCAAAACAAAGCAACCAGTACAGGTTTTACATGACAAAGAAGAAAAGCCATTCGATGATTTATTATTAGTTTTTACAAAGACGGGATTTTTGGAGCAGGGAAAAAAGCATCAACGCCTTAAACAAGGTACACGTTGCAGTTAGAAAGCCAAAACAATGATTTTTAGTTATTTGCTTTATCTGTCTGGATACATTTAGGTGACATGTAGTCATGTAAGGTCATGTAGTTGTACTAGATCTATTTTCTATCATCTCTGTTAACATTCCATTTGCATTTTTGGCCAAAAAGCAATATCTACGGTGTATCCTACAGTCCTCGGCTATTTAAATGTCCAAATCCTCACTGGTGGTCACACACGGGCAGTAGAAATGTTCTTATTTCCAATAAGCCCATCATAAATATCATCTCAGATTTAATATAACATTAATAGTTTTTGAGGTTGGAAGACCACTTTGATCACTTTGGTTTAAAGC